GGGGGAACAACACCTTGTCCTCAAATACAGCCCTCCAAAAGCAAGACACTTAGTCCTACACCAAAAGAAGTATCCTGCATGCTCACAGCCAGGTGGAATGACTTACCATGGGGATGACTTAAGCTTGCCAAAGCAACATAACATCACATGCTTGTGATGTACGTGGATAACAACAAAAAAAAAGAGCTTCTAGTGAATGATTTGACTCTACATGTTATGTATGTTAGAGAATTCCAGAATTTAGACTTTAATATAAATGTATAAAAAAGGATGCATTTAGTTCCCCTAAATGTATGCAAGAAGTATATTATAACTACAAGACGGTATTCCTCAGACACACCAATAGTCTAATTTTTTTTTTTAGACACTGATTATGGAGATAGTGGTTTAATATTTTCATATTAATAATTGTTAAGTCTTTATTTATTTACTATATCCTTCCCAAACTCTACTGAAATAAAATAATTAAATTTCTTCATGTATTTCTGTAGGTTGCTTAATGCAGACCTATTAGTTCATTTCTACTATGAGGTAAAATCATCTCTCTTTTTAAAGGAAAACATGAGATAACAATTTACCAGATGGCTTGTTTGAACAGTTTGATATTAGTCACTTCAAAACTTCAGAAAACACCAATGTAGTTAATGTGCTGTAATCCCATATGATGGATGCATTAACACTACACTTTGTTCAGCATACTCAAGATGTAGTTGGTGATTTTAAAATACTATATAGTGGTCTACACACACCACCACAGTGTGAATCTAATCTAACACGCATTTTCGAAACCTGAGTAAGAGCCAACAACATACGTATTAAATCAATAAAATCCTTTAAATCCAATTCTATCCAACCCATAAACAAACCCCTCAAACTCACTGAGCAGACTTTCAGCCCTCGCATGGTCTAACAGCTCAGCAGCATCCCCTCACCGTTTCACACTGTTCCCAGCCGCCCTGGTTCCCAGCGCCGGTGCTGAGTCACAAACCACCTCGGAGCAAGTATCGAGTGACTGCAGCAGTCACACCCACCTACAGCTGGCCCAAACAGTAGAAACGCCTACTATTCAGCAGTTTCTTCACTAGGAGCCCCCTTCCACAATGAGCTACAGTCCTCCAGGCAGAACACCCATGACTTGCCCCGAATCAGGGATCCTGTCCTACCTGAGCTGGCCTCAGCTGCATAAAAACTGATCATGGCTACTCCAGCGATACCAATTGCTTTGCATTGTCAGGACAAGCTAGGTGGGCTTTTACAAGGGCCAGCCATACAAAAATACATACCTGGTGGTGTCCAGGACAGTTACACAGTGTAATTACAGGTGCAGGTTCACCCCCACACCTCCATTTTATTTTATGCATAATACCACTTTATGTTTGGATCCATACCTGAACTTCAAGGCAATGAGCGTATGAAAGGGGTTGCCAAACTGACATTTGCTGTTGGGAAGCTTCCAAGACCGAAGCAAATGATGCTCTGGAGAACAAGAGTTTTAGGCACTTCATACAAATTAAGGGCTTAAAGATCATATGTAAACACCAAAAATATACCTCCAAATTAAAACCTTGCTGTCTCAGTATGAAAAGGTACATACCTGCACAGGAGTCACCTAGGAATTCTGACAACCCAGCCAAGCAAGTGTTGCCAGCTCAGGTTGCCAGAGAAAGTTGCTCAAGATCTTTAAAAGGCCACCGAGTTAAAATGTTATGCAGAGAGCAATCCGCAAGTGGAGGTCTACCTCTACAAAGAAGGGGGGTTCCCCTTACTTGTATGCTAGCTTTCACCATTAGGAAAGCCTAACCCTGAGCCATTCTAAGGTGGCTGTGACTTGCAATCAGCTCTGTCTCCCAGCTGCATGCCTGGCAAAGTAGATAGTGAGAACAGGATCACTAAGATTAGTTCATATTCCAGAAACAGGCCTGATAAGGCAGACAGCATGCTACTGTGCCCTGAGACATTCCCTTATAGCACTTCTTACCCTTTCCTCTTACAGTTAGGCCTTCCTTACTAGTTCCACTTTCTTCAAGAAAGAGCGATAAAAAGATGTGGTTTTAAAATGCTTATTAGGATACCTTAAAATTTAGCAATTGCAAATACACATCTTTGATGCATCATAGGGAAATTCGTATTGTGTTATAAATCATCCAGTTCAGTTACAGAACTCCCCATCGAAATGTTTACTGCACCATCATGCTGACTTTCCTCAGCTTAATCATTATTTTGGAAGCAGTTAAATCTGGAAAGAGCTATTCCTAACTGGAATATGGCCAAGAAGGGCACCAGCACTACAGTTACATAAAACTGTTGTGGTGTAACTGTGTGAGCAAGCCTTCACTAACACTATCTCTAGTGATGAACAGGTCATAGGACAGGTCAGAGTCAAGGTTAAATTATCGTATCTTCAAGTCTTCCAAAGAAAAATCACATCTTCCTCACTAATGCTGAAAATCAGCAGAAAGCACAAAAAGCATGGTTCTGGGAACCAATTCAAAAACCGGGCTGTGACTTAATGCCTACTACAGATTTGAGATTCTACCATGCCAAGACTCACTTGACCGTTTTTGTAAGTAGTTTCCAGATCTAAACTGCTGAATCCTAGACATTTTGAACTGCAACAAGGATTCAACGCTACACTGGACTTGGAAAACAGACATAACATAAAGTGAAATAAGAATATTCCACTTTGCAACACAGTCAACTTTCTCTAGTAATTATCACATTTAATTAATGTCTCCATTAACACCACTTCAACTCTGTGAAATTAAGAAAAGTTGAAATTCTGAGTTAGCTAAGGATTGGTCTACTCTAAGTCATCAACTGATTTCTCTCCCTTCTCCCCCTGCAGTCTTTCAAGAACAAGCTGAAACCTATACGCTTGCCAAAACCTATACACTTATACCAGCAACTACAGCATCCACTTATAACCAGCTAAAATAAATTTTCTTGCTGCTTGAAGAGTCAAAGACATCACTGTGACATTCCATACCATCCTCTGGCATCCAAGCGTCTTAGCCTAATTAAAACTCTTTTTACCTCTTAACATTATACAGTATCGGTAACATAAAATCTCCTACTAAAATGCACAAATCTGAACATGGAGACACATTTCAGGTATCTTCATAAGATAATCTACAATCCAGATCAGGAAATAGTAAAAAAAAAAAAAAAAAAAAAAAAAAGCTATTTTTCATCCTCTTCAAACAAACACACACTGAGAAATTAGACAGCAAATAAGTTCACATGCCTCCATTCACACCCAAGATTTCAGCCAGGCACAAATAGTAAAATTACAGTAGTTGCAGTAGTATAGTGTTGCACTATACAATAGTTAACTTTATACAGTCCAACATAGACAGAGCATTTATGTTTCCTCTTCAGTCAGACAAATACCTTGTTAAT